ACAGTGCAAAGGCCATACCTTGATTTTTCTTTAATAAATTTACGATTGGTTCCAGGGAAGGGTTCCCTATTTGTTACAATTCTGCATGGGATGCTCCCAAATGGTTATGCTCTTAGATAAGGAGGGATGAACAAGGTCTCCTTGTTCTAACTAACCAAGGGAATGGTTAATTTATAATAGGATCCATTCCCTCATAGACTCTCCTGTTCCCAGCCCAAATACATCTGTATTTTAAAAGAAGGCAATTTACTCAAGAACAAGTGGTTAAAAAAAAATCACTCATGTGATGTGAGCATTGTTGCCCAGGTCAGCATTTATTGCCCATCCCTAGTTGCCCTTGAAAAAATGGTAGTGAACAGCCTTTTGGAACTGCTGCAGTCCATTTGCTGTAGCTGGACGCACAATGCTGTTAGGACGGGAGTTCCAGGATTTTGACCCAGCAGTGAAGGAAAGTAATATATTTCCAAGTCAGGATTGTGAGTTACTTGGAGACAAACTTGCAGATGGTGCTGGCCCCATGTATCTGTTGCCCTCATCCCTCGAGAGGGAAGTGATTGTGGGTTTGTAGGAGCTTTGGTGAATTTCTGCAGTGCATCTTGTAGATGGTAACACTGTTACTAATGAACATTGTTGGTGGAGGAGCAGATTTTTGTGGATGTGGTGCCGATAAGCAGGCTGCTTTATTCTGGTGGCCAGCGTAAGTGTTGTTGAAGCTGACTCAACCAGGCATCACACTCCTGACTTGTGCCTTGTTGATAGTGGACAGGCTTTGTAGAGTCAGGAAGTCATGTCGAAAGTAGGTTGCATTCAGCACAAAGTAGACCCAGCAGGTTTTAGGGAGTCAGGAGATGAGTTTCTAGTTGCAGAATTCCTAGCATCTGACATGCTGTCATAGTCACTATATTTACTTTGTTAGTCCAGTTCAGTTTCTGGTGAATTATAACCCTGAGGATGTTGATGGTGTGGATTCTGCGATGGTAAAACTATTGATTGTCAAGGGGCGATAGTTTGATTGTCTCCTTTTGGAGATGGTCATTTGTGCCACACAAAGGCTGAGTGATTTTACTTGCCACTTTTCAGCTGAAGCCTGCATTTGGTCCAGCTTTTGCTGCATTTGGACATGGATTGCTTCAGTACCTGTGAAGTTGCAAATGGTGCTAAACATTGTGCAACCATCAGAAAACAGGACCTTAGGGCAGGTCATCGATGAAACAGATGTGTCCTGGAGTGGAGATGATGCCCACCAACAGCTACAACCATCTTCCTATGTGACAGGGATGATGCCAACCAATGGAGACTTCCCTTCCCCCGCCAACTCCAGTTTTACTGTGCTTATTAGCTACTAAAACCTGAGTAAACAAAATGTGTCACACACAGGCAGGTTAAAAATAGAAGCAAAATTTTTTACAAATATGTAAATAAATCTTTGGCTTGTCCACTTCAAATAGATGGTGAAATGTTGCGGCACTCACATTGGCAGTCGGGTGGTTGTTTGAACGTTCTTAGTCTGCAGTTACTGAAAGGAGTATGCCTGTTTTCCTTCAACAGTGGCTTCATTGATGACTTATTTTCAGGAGACAGACTTTTTCACTTTAACTGCAAGTGCAGAGGTGTCTACTGAAAGTTCTCATCTGAGTCCCTTAACAGACGTAGCAAAACCCAAATCACAAGCTAACACACTAGTATGCCAGTGCTACAGCACACAAACATCAGTGGTTGCTGTTGGTTTTTTAAATCTCCTTTCTTCTATATTCATGAAAGTGTAAAACAAAAATGTCTTTCACCTCGAACTGCTTTTCTTTCAAATCATATATTGTCTACAGAGTCTGGGACAAAACACACAGGACAGCACAGTTCACTTTCTTCCCTCTAAATGGCAACTCTCCTGCAAGTGTTACTGTCTGATGTTCCCTTGACACTCTTCAGCTGTGACATGCCATTATTCCTCTCAATGTAATTCACGTGCATTTTAGAAAGGCACTGAAATAGCATTCTCAGCCATCTTTTGGCTCATTTGTCTTTCTTTTTAAAAATATATTGTTCTTAGAAGTTCAATATATTTGTAAGTAATTTAGGGTTATGATTCGTTTTCATGGCAATAAGGATGTAATTCATGTCCATATATCCACTTCATTTTTCCACTGATGTGCGTTTTGCCTTCAGCAGTGTACCTTTACCCGAATTGGCAATGTTCATGCTATCTCTAAGATTAAAAAAAAATCAGGCATGGATAATATAGCATTGCAGGATCCAAGGGGTGTTTATTATAGCTGGCTGCTATATACAATTATAGCAGTGACAAAATCGTGAGCATGTCTCTTAAACGGGGAAGCTGTGGCAGAGTGGCAATGTCACTAGAGTAGTAAAACAGAACACCAGACTAAATTCTAGGGATGTAGGTTCAAACTCCACCATGCCAGATGGTGAAACTTGAATTCTTGGAATTAAAAACTGGCCAAATAATGACCATGTAAAGATTGTCAGTTCACATAAAAGCCGATCTGATTCACTCATGCTTTTAAAGGAAGGAAATTTGTCAACTTTGTGTGGTCAATTCTACATGTTACTCAAGATCCATAGCAAGTGGCTGGCTCTTAAACTGCCTCTGAAATGGCACAGCAAACCACTCAGTTCAAGAGCAATTAGTGATGGGTAATAAATGCAGACCTACTAGGTGACACCAACACCCCAGGAAGAAATAAATATATACTGGGATATAACAATCATAAAGATCTGCTTCACAGAATCAGTGGGAATCATATCTCAACACTTTACACTTATTGTAAACCATTCTTTTAAAACAACCTTCTGTCTGAAAATAACCATTTCTAATCTTCAGACAATCACGTTCTGCTACCAATGACAATCTGGATCTACCAGAAGTCACACAACACAGTGCTCCGAAAGCCTGTGATTTCAAATATACCTGTTGGACTATAACTTGGTGTCGTGTGACTTCAGACTTTGTCCACCCAGGTCCAACACCAGCATCTCCACAACGTGGATCTGAACAGGGAAGTGAGACAGTAAACTGAAACCTTCCTTTATGGATAGAGTTTATTACTACCCAGTCTTAAAACTCCTTCCACTCCTATCCCTTCCAGTGTTACAGGCATATATATTTATTTTATGTTTATATATTTTTTTCTAACCAATCAGAGATGTTATTACACATCCTCTGGAATAGGTGGAGCTTGAATCTGGACCTCCTGGCTCAGAGGAAAGGGCACTACCAGTGCACCACAACAGACCTTTTACCCTAACATATATATGTGTTTAAAAAAGAGGCAGTGGTTGCCATTAAGTATTGTATTCAATTCAAATTTCACCATGGCTCATTATGTCATATGAACCAATGTCGCTGGAATGTTAGCCTGCAGCTCTGGATTACTAGTACACCACCACCTCCCCAACAAAAAAGGGATATATAATATATAGACTTATATATTGTATAATATAAAGTAGCCACCACCTGTCTCTTCTTAATCTTAAATAAAATCATTAGTAAAAACTTAATGTGACAAACAAGGCTAACAATAACCACCAACTGTGTGGGAAGCTATTTGAAATGAAACAACCCAATTGTTTTAAAGCATAAATTCAATCAAAATTTGATTTGACAATTAGATATTAATCTTGAGAACTTGAGTATTTTAATAACAAATGCTAACTTTACATGACATCAAAGTAAAGCCACATCTGAGGATTCTTTTTGCCTTACCAATAGGAAACTCACTTGTAAACTTGCATTTTGCACTTCTCAGTTATTTTATAGCACCTTCAATACAATAAACCAACCCAGGCCACTTCACAGCAAGTTAAAATGGTTACTAGTTAACTATTCAAAATAATGGCCAAGAATGCAGTCAATGGATCATATACAACAAATAGTCAGATTATCCTGTCCCAGCCTTTTGTAAGAGTTATCTAGTTAATAACACTTCCTTGTTCTTTCCCTGGAACCCTACCAAATTTAGCCATTTCAAGAACTTTTTCAATTCCCCTGCACAGTGTAATTAAGTCTCCTTCTAAGGGAAGCCCCACATTTTAAAATAAAACATTCCAGATCGTAACTCACTTTTACAAGTTTAATAGCATGGTTACAGCCCAGTAGTAGTTAATTTGGCTCATCAAGTCCGTGCCAACTCTACAAGAACAACTCGCCTCATCCCACTTGCTAGTTTGCCTTCTCCACATAATCCGGCAAAATAAAAGAACATTTTTGTCATATCCTCTGATTACCAACGTTGCTGCAAGTATAAACAAAATATATGGAAATAAGTTTAAATATAACAAAGGGAACAATACTGCCTGAATTTGAATTATCTCGGGTATAACCTATTTACTGTCCGGTTTTGAAAGCTGAAATGAAAGTTAAACCACAATTCGAGCTTCTCAATTTGTAAACTACATTAAAAACAGTGGGCACACAACACACAGTTACAACTGCAAAAAAAAGTCAGTCACGTGATTCTCTGTCATATGATCGAATGTCACATGATCACAATCCAAGGATACTTCTATTGGCAACCTACAATATGTAAGATTCATTTTACCATTAGAAATGTAACTTGTTGTAGTACAGTAATTGTATTAAAATTCAAACTTGAGTTAACTTTGCGTTTAAAAAGTTAATTTACTCAAAAATGCAGAAAACGCGATAAAGCCTAAGCTGGGGGAGGGTAAGACTCAAGAGCCTTGGCTCCTCACACGTTTTTGCTACATTTTCATTTACCTGCACTTTAAAATGTGGGGGGATAATTCTGGATTTAAAAGAAATGTGGTAAAATGTTTGATTAACAGTAAGCCGCTGATATACACGCTTGCATGCAACTGAAAGTGTGTATACATCTTTTAAAAGAGAAACAACGTGTTCACATTAAAAACGGCAAAGACAGGTTGGTTCCGCCTCCCACTCTCTCCCTATTTATTTCAAAACCCCCTTCCCCTCCCCCTTTTCTGATGAAGGGTCTAGGCCCGAAACGTCAGCCTCTCTGCTCCTATGATGCTGCTTGGCCTGCTGTGTTCATCCAGCCCTGCACCTTATTGTCTCGGATTCTCCAGCATCTGCAGTTCCTACTATCTCTGGTTTTCTACTGTGTGGGTTGGGAATGCTCTTTAGAAGATTGACAGATTTAGCGACCGGGTAGCTGCTGATGGTTGGTCAGGGAACGTGAACGTGGCCCGGAATGGGCTTTTATTCAATATTTCCACCACCAGGGAAAAAAAAAATCCATGTGGCCAGGGAACCAGTAACGAGCAAAGCCCGATAGGGGCAATGCTCATGTGAAGGAGGAGGGTGGGGATTAAATCAAATTAGAGTTACAGGGGGAAGTAAAGCATTCCATCTACCCTGCGGTGCTTACCTCTCTCTGAAGTGATGGAGACTGCATGCTCTCTTCTCCAAGGGCACCCGGGCTCAGACGTAGCCTCAGATGAGGGGCAGACAGCCAAAATGACCCCCACCCCGCAAGGCCAGCTGCTTGGACTGGGTTATAGCCAGTTTGGCCAGGCCCACAAGGAGAGCCTCCAACCTGCCCGCACCATTCCACACTGGGTGCCCAAAGATCAGGAACGTGTGGGTGAAGTGCAACCAAAAACAGAGCCGAAGGTACGGAGTGGGCTTTTACCACAATGTTGCAATGGTGTAGTATTGGTCAGGCGATTGAGATTTAAATAACTGCTAAATAAAGAGCCTTTCATCTTTAGGAGCAACCCAAAATCAGAAATGTGGTCATCTTAGAGGTAGTGCCCAATAGGAACAATCAAATCTGAGTTTCAAAACGTGGCATTTCTTTTATCTCTACATGGTAGTAGTGGAGATGAGGTTGTTAGAGATAACACAGTGTGGAGCTGAAGGAAACATAGCAGGCCAGGCAGCATCAGAGGAGCAAGAAAGCTGATGTTTTGGGTTGGGACCCTTAAGAAGTTATCTCTGACTCTAGCATCGGCAGTTCTTACTGTCTCTGAGATGAGGTTGTTTCTGCTTTATTTAGAATGGCAAGATCACTGTTGTCCAAACTGCAGATGGTGGCCATTTGCATCATTGTCATCTGTACCCTTACAATGGAGTTATCCTTTTTCCCAATTTGGTGTTTTTTCCTCATTAATCCTGTGTGCTCCTGTCACTAATCTGAAATTAATACCGTTTTGATATTAGAATAGAATAGCAATTTATTGTCACACACTTTTACAAAAAAAAGTGAAAAGTTTTAAGTCGTCATGCCATGGCACCTAAATTAGTGACAGAAGTCATGAGTAGGTTTGGGGTATGTTGGAAAACCAGGCAGAAGCCACCACACAAGGGCCAAGCTGAAACGTCCATGCTGGGACTGGAACTCCATGCTGGGTCACTGGAAAACCCGGAAGCTGCCTCTGAAGCAAGAATGAGACCTTTGCTCCAGGACTAGACCTTCAAGCCAGGCTGCGGGAATACCCAGAAGCAGCCAAAGAAGACCTCCATGAGGGGACAAGAATGTCACTGCAGGCCAAGACTGCCACGGAGGGAGACCGTCCCGCCAGGCACCAGGCCTATACCGCCATTCTGGGCCATAACAAGCCACATCAGTGCTGGGCCTGAGCCAGGAGAAGATGCCCACCGAAGTCATTAAAAGAAGGTAAGGTACAATATTAAATGGAAACATTGAAAAAGGGGAAAACGTAAAGCGGAAACAGAAAGACTTGCATTTATTTTGCTTCTTCATGACCACCAAAGTGCTATTGGAGTACATTTGACTTGTAGTCAGTATCATCAGAAGCAGTTTATGCCTAGTAACATCCCACAAACAGCAACATGATAATGACCAGGAATGCTGATTTAATGAATTTTGTTTACTCTTTCATTGGATGTGGGTGGCACTGACAGGGCTATCTTTTTTTTGCCAGTGTAAAATAAATCAAGAGTATATGTTGTTGAGCTGCTTTCTTGAACAGTTGCATGTTAATTGATGGATAGATATTGACTAAAACATGAGTAGGAACTCTCCCGTTCTTTAAATCAGTGCCATGTAATCTTTCATGTCACCTGAGTGGGCAGACATAAATCTTATATTAACATCCAATCTAAAAGACAATACTGTGATCTGTATAGCAGTGAAGAGTCTGTCGTCTTTGAAGTTGAACTTCACACACCTTCCAATTTAATAAAATCTGTACCCAATGAACACCTGAAATACTGTTAAATCTCAAACAGATTTGTTCACTTTGTGGTCAGAAAGCTCCAGCCAATAATTTTAGTAAAAAAATAAGTGTACAAAACAGGTTTACTGTCTTGAATCTATGTAGGTTTTCTTTACTAAAACCTGACAATTAGAAGGTTGTCATGTTTGGGACTGTGGCTTTAACTTAAAGTAAAGTGAACGTGGCCATGAGACCTGAAGGTGACCACTTACCTGACAGCAAGCCTGAGTTAGTTGATTGTTAGCGATGAAAGTGGGGAGAAAGAGGTATAAGATGGTCATGTTTGGAGACCAAGACAGCAGCTTATGTGCAAACAAAAGGCAGACCATCAATCTCCTATGGTTTTATAATCAACTTATTCAAAGTTGTTAGCAGACACCTCCAGAGCCAATGGGATTTGAAACTAAACCTCCAACTGAGAGGTAGGGACACTACCTTTGCACCACAAGAATCCTCAAAACATGAATCCCCAAAACATTCTGAAATCAGCTTGTTCAGATGTGTTATGATACTCCTCTGCAACTGGTGGGGTTTGAATCTGGGCTTCTGGCTTCAAGGCAGGGACACTGCCACTGTGCCCCAAAAGTGCCACAATGCTTAGGCTATTTTTATATCCAGAAGTGCCTTCATGCATAACTAAATACTTTTTCCCAATCATCAAATCACCTGTATTTATATTTATACACCTGTATTTATATTTTCCAATCAATCTATTACAAAGATGCTATTACACACCTCAGGAGCAGGAGGGACTTGAACCCAGACCTCCTGGTTCAGAGGTGCAGACACTACCACTGCATCACAAGAGCCCAACAATGAATATTTTCTGTATCAATCTACTCAGATGTAGCGAATTATAACTGGAGCATGTGGGACTTGAACCTGGCTTAAAGATAGGGACACTACCACTATTCCTCAAGAGCCCCACAATTTTTTTCTTTTATATACCAAAGTGCTTTTACACACAACTGACAGAGTTCTTCCCATCACCAAATCACCCATGGTATTTTTTTCCATCTGTTAACAACCACCAGTAAGTAAACTGTAATTCCAATTGAAATCATTTAAATGCAATAAATTAGGTTCAAATGTCACCATGTGATGTGGATGGGATGCAAATCTATATCCCCAGAGTGTGAACCTAAACTTACCAGTCCAGTGATATTATCACTGAGCCAGTGCCTTCCCCCAAGTGCACCACCATAGATACTTTCTTATTAACCTGCTCAGAAATGTCATTACACACTCTGGAGCAGGTTAGGTTTAAAACCAGATCTCCTGGCTCAGAAGTAGGAGCACCACCACTGAGCTGCAAGAGCCGTACTAACAGCCACACCATAAATTTGTTTCCTTTTCATTTTAACCTATTTTTCTAACCAGTCATGATCAGCTGGGCCAATGGGTCGAGGAGTGGCAGGTGGAGTTTGGTTTAGATCAATGTGAGGTGCTGCATTATGGAAAGGCAAATCGGGGCAGGACTCATACACTTAATGGTAAGTTCCTGGGGAATGTTGCTGAACAAAGAGACCTCGGAGGGCAGGTTCATAGTTTGTTGAAAGTGAAATCGGGGGTAGACAGGATAGTGAGGAAGGTCGTACTACGACCAGTGTCCACCTATCACTACCATTCTGCCTCCACCCCTCTCCCCCCACGTCTTTATCTGCAGCTACCCCTACCACCACATCCAGTCCCGAAGAAGGGTAATACCTGAAACTTTGCCTGCTGCTTTCCTCCAGATGTCACCTGGCCTGCTGTGTTCTTCCAGCCTCCTGTTTGTCTATCTATAGTGAAGGTGTTTGATATGCTTGCCTTTATTGGTCAGTGCATTAAGTATAGGAGTTGGGAGGTCATGTTGTGTTTGTACACGACATTGGTTTGGCCACTTTTGGAGTATTGTGTACAATTCTGGTCTCCCTCCTATAGGAAGGATGTTGTGAAACTAGAAAGGGTTCAGAAAAGATTTGCGAGGATGTTGCTAGCCTTGGAGGGTTTGAGCTATAGGGAAAGGCTGAGTAGGCTGGGGCTATTTTCCATGGATAGTGTAAATACGCAAGGTCCTCAGGGTGGAAGAGTCCAAAGCTAGAGAGCATAGGTTTAAGGTGAGAGGAAAAAGACATAAAAGGGACCTAAGGGGTAACTTTTTCATACAGAGGGTGGTGCGTGTATGGAACGAGCTACCAGAGGAAGTGGTAGAGGAAGGTACAATTACGACATTTAACTGATATCTGGATGGGTATATGAATAGGAAGGGTTTAGTGGGATATGGGCCAAATACTGGCAAATGGGACTAGATATTATATATATAAAACACATATATCTAGGATATCTGGTCAGCATGGACAAGTTAGACCAGAGGGTCTGTTTCCGTCCTGTATATCTCAATGACGCGTTCAGAGATGTCATTACACATCTCTGGAGCAGTTGAGACTTGAGCCTGGGTCTCCCAATTCAGGGATAGGGACACTACCTCACAAGTGGACCCCCCTCCGACAGCCCCCATAAATCCGAGAAAAATGTGGGATCAGATACTTCAAATTGTCTGTTTACTTTCAAGATTAAAGAGATTTGGGATTGAGGATAGTTAAAAGCATTTGTACTTGGATTTAAGACATATGACTAAAATTGCCATACATATGGACTTTGAAAGGGGTGGATGCAAGACATCCCTGAAAAAGTACAGGCTGTAAAGAGGCAATTAGCATTAACACCATACAAATGAAAGCCATTGACCATCTCCCCACATACCTGGATGAATGCAGCTCCAACCACAACCAGTGGTGTGCTGTCAGAATTAGTCCTGGCTCCATTGTTGTTTGTCGTTCATATAAATGATTTAGATGAGTATATAGGAGGCATGGTTAGTAAGTTTGCGAATGAAAACAAATTGGTGGGATAGTGGTCAGTGAAGAAGGTTATCGAAGAGTACAACAGGACCTTGATCAACTTGGCCAATGGGCCAAGAAATGGCAGATGGAGTTTAATTCAAATAAATGCAAGCTTTGCAAACCAGGGCAGGACTTACATAGTATAAGTCCCCTGCCCTAGTGAGTGTTATTGAACAGAGGGACCTAGGACTGCAGGTACACAGTTCCTTGAAAGTAGCATCACAGGTAGATACGTTGGAAAAGAAGGCATTGGCATACTTGCCTTCATCGGTCAGAACGTTGAGTACAGGAGTTGGGATGTCATGTTACGGCTGTACAAGTTTTTGGTAATGCCACATTTGGAGTACTGCGTATAATTCTGGTCAACCTGCTATGGGAAGGATGTTATTGAACTGAAACAGGTGCAAAAATGATTTACAAGGGTGCTACTGAGACTGGAAGGTTTGTATTATAAGGAGAGGCTGGATAGGCTGGGACTATTTTCCCTGCAGCATAGGAGGTGACCTTCCAGAGATTTGTACAATTGGGAGAGGCAGAAATAAGGTGAATAGCCAAGATCTTTAGGGGAGTCCAAAACTAGAGGGCACAGATTTAAGCCAAGAGGGGAAAAGATTTAAAAGGGACCCTTGCGGCAACTTTTTCCACACAGAGGGTGGTGCATTTATGGAGAAGCTGCCAGAGGAAGTGATAGAGGTGGGTACAATTGCAACATTTAAAAGACATTTGGACAGGTACATGGATAAATAAAGGTTTAGATGGAAATGGGCCAAATAAAGGCAAATGGGTCTAGTTCAGTTTAGGAAACCTGTTCAGCATAGACAAGTTGGACCAAAGGTCTGTTTCCATGCAGTATGACTATGACACTTAAGAAGCCTAACACCATCCAGTCCACTTAATTGGCACCATGTCCACAAACATCCACGGCCTCCACCGCTGACACTCAGTAGCAGCAGTGTGTACTAGCCACAAGATGCACTGCTGAAATTTTTCAGAGATCCTTAGAAAGTACCCGCCAAGTGCACAACTACTTCTGTTTATAAGAAGGGCAACAGACACATGGGAACACCACCACCTGCAAGTTCCCCTCCAAGCCACTCGGCATCCTGACTTGGAAATATTTAACTATTTCTTCACTGTCACTGGGTCAAAATCCTGGAATTTCCTTCCTAACAGCATTGTGTGTCTACCTACAATATATGGAATGCAGTGATTCAAGAAGGCAGCTCACCACCACCTTCTTAAGAACAAGTAGGGACGGGCAATAAATGTTGGCCAGCCAGTGATGCCCACACCCCACAAAAAAATACTACTGCTGGTTTTGATGCAAAGTAGCAGTGTGACATAGCTGGCTTCACCTGTCGATCAGAATTGGGGAGAGGTTAGTTGTCATTCTTTTGCATATGCACTTCTCAAGATCAATGTTCCCCTGAAGAGAAGAGAAAAAGATGAGTAAAAACAACCTTACAGTCAGAAGCTGGGGAAATTATAATGGTGAATAACGAAATAGCAGAAGAATTGAACATGTATTTTGGTTCCAACTTCACAAAGGAGGGCACACATAATCTTCCAGAAATGTTGGAGAACCAAGGAATTGAAGGAGATCATTAATAGTGAGAAAATGATGCTGGGACATCAAAGGGGTTAAAGGCTGACAAATCAGAGGGCCTGATAATCTACATTCCAGAGTCCTAAGGAAGTGGCAAATGGAACCCCATGATTTAAAGAGGGATGGAGGGAATTACAGACTAGTTAGTCTAACATCAGTCATGGGGAAAATGTCTTTTATAAGACATGATGACAGAACATTTGGAAAGCGTAATGAGATTTGACAAGGCAAATGAAGGCTAATAATGCTTATCTATTCTACTGGTTTCAACCTGTCAAAATTCCAGTAATTTGTTGAGGGAGGGGGATGTGGTGTGTTTGGATTTTTGGACTGCTTTTAATAAGATTCCTCTTGAGAGGTTATTCGGCAAAGTTAAAGCACATGGATAGGGGTAAATCCATTAGCATTGATTGAGAATTAGTTGTCAGGCAGGAAACAGAAAGTGCGAATAAATGTGTTTTTTTCCCTGAGAGGTAGGTATTGACTAGAGGTGTACCGCAAGCATCAGTGCTTGGGGCCCAGCTATTCATGATTTGTATAAATGAACTGGATGAGGAAACTAAATGCAACAAATCCAAGTTTGTTTATTAATAAACCTACAAAGGTTTGAGAGTTGTGAGGAGAAGGCAAGGAGTCTTCAAGGAGATTTACACTAGTTGAATGAGTGGGCAAACACAAGGCAAATGTAGTATCACATTTCTAAATCTGAAGATATACACATCAGTAGAAAAGTAGGAAGGAAGAGTATTGTTTAAATGATGATATGTCAGAAAATGTAAAGGGATTTGAGTGTCCTTTTCCATCAGTCGATGAAAGTCGACAGACAGGTGCGGCAATGACATATTGACCTTCATTACAAGAGGACTGGAGTTCAGAAGTAGAAACATTCTACTGCCATTATACAGGGCCTTGGTGAGACCACAGCTGGAGTATGCTATGCAATTTTGGATTCCCTACCTAAAAGAGGATACACTTGCCATAGGGGGAGTGCTACAGAGGTTCATTAAGCTGATACCAGGGATGCCAGGACTGTCATATGAGGAGAGATTGCTTTGCCTGGGCCTGTACTCACTAAAGTTGACAAGAATGAGAGGGGATCTGATTGAAACATACAAAATTCTAACAGGGCTGGACAGACTAGATTTCTATTGGTTGGGGAGTCTGGAACCAGGGGTCACGGTCTTAGGATATGGGGCAGATCATTTAGGACTGAGATGAGGAAATGTTTCTTCATTCAAAGGGTAATGAACATGTGGAATTCTCTTCCACGGAAGGACGTAGAGACCAAGTCACCGAGTATGCTCAAGAAAGAGATGTAGTTTTAGATTTTAAAAATATTAGGAGGTATGGGGAGAAAGTGGGAATATGGCATTGAGATAGAGGATCAGACACTATCATAGTGAATAGTGCAGCAGGCCTGAAGGGCTGAATGGCCTACTCTGGCTCCTAGTTTCCATGTTTAATCTGTGTGGCCACACTGATCTCCGTGCAGCTATTGACTTCCTGAATTTGCTAGCACACATGGAGATCTGTGCAGCACAAGCAAAAATTAGAGGAAATGTAGCGCAATGTAACCAACGAAGATATTCACAAGACCTGAGTCTAGAGGGCATCCCAGAGAGCATCCCAGAGAATGCCTTCTATTGGTGTCATTGCAACTGAACTCAAAAGAAATCTACCTTTTAGAAATAAGATTATGCAGTTAATCTTATTCCCTTTCCAGGGCAGAGAGACAGACTAACTTTGCATTAACAATTATCACACCATTAAAAGGGTACCTATGCTGTTAATTACCAGCTGTCACTTTCTGCAGCAAGTTTAATGGGCAATTAATATGCAATTCCAGTTAATTCTTAAAATAATGGAAAGGCTGAGGATGAGACATTGCTTGTGAGAAGCAATTTGAGGAGTGAATTAAATCAGTGATAAATCCTCGATTCATGACTCTCAGTGTGTCCGTCCATCACTTGAAATCATTTGTGTACTAAGAACAGGCTATAACATTAACAGTGTGCAATGTTCCAGCCCACTCTCTGTAACAAAGATTCTTTAGGTGTGCAAGGCCATATTCATTTCCTTTTAATAATCTTTGAGCAAATTCAAATTTGTAGTTGATAACGGAAAGATTTCACACTTGAAGACTTTTCCGATAATATAAAACTGGAAGTACTATTGACCAAACACTATATTTGTTGATAACTTATATTTTAAACAAAAAAAATCCCCATTTTCTTTTAGCACAAGAGAAATCATACCTCATAGATATTTTTACACAGTCCTTTAAGTAGCCACATTGTCTAGAACCAGTCCGAAGAGAATCTTAGATCCTAATGGCGTCAATCTGTGAACATTCAATTTCTGAGTGCTTTTTACAGTAATGTTTGTTGCTCCTGGAGATTCTTCCATTAGCACAAGCTAGCTGAATCTTCCAACATCATTTTAACTTATCGTGTATTTGGTCTTTGGCCCAAGACACTGAAGGAATGGTGATGCATTTCCAAGTCAGGGTAGTCAGTGGCTTGGAGGGGAACTTGCAGATGATGGTGTTCCCATGTATCTTGCTGCCCTTACCCTTCTAGGTGATAGCAGTTGTGGATTTGGAAGATGCTGTCTAAAGATCTTTTGGTGAATTCCTACAGTGCATCTTGTAGATGGTACACACTGCTGCTATTGATCATCAGTGATGGAAGGACTTGATGCTTGGAGTGTAATGCCAATCAAATGGGTTGCTTTGTCCTGGATGGTGTAAAGCTTCTTGAGTGTTGTTGGAGCTGCACTCACCCAGGCAAATTAGGGGTATTCTATCACACTGCTGACTTGGGCGTTGTCGATGGTGGACAGCCTTTGGGGGGTCAAGAAATTACTCTCAGATAACAAGGTGTAGAGCTGGATGAACACAGCAGGCCAAGCAGCCTCAGAGGAGCAGGAAAGCTGACGTTTCGGGTCTAGACCCTTCTTCAGAAAAAATTACTCTCTGCAGGATTCCAAGTCTCTAACTTGCTCTTGTAACCATTATAACTATAAGGCAAGCCATTTCCATCAGGATATGATTAGTGGGTGAAGTCAGTGATGGTAACAACATTGAATGTCAGGGAGTGGTGTTTAGATTGTCTGTTGTTGGAGATGGTCATTGCCTGGCATTTGTGGGGCTTGACTGTTACTTGCCAATTTTCAGTCCATGCCTGGATATTGTCCAGGTCTTGTTGCATTTGAACATGGATGGTTTCAGTATCTGAGAAGTTCTGAATAGTGCTGAACATTGTGCAATCACTAGGGAACATCCCCACTTCTGACCTTATGGAGGGAAGGTCATTGATGAAAGAGCTATAGGTGGTTGGGCCTGGGACACTACCCTAAGGAGTCCCACTGACAGGCTACTACCATGAAGCCAGAAGATGTTGTGTTTACCGCACAAATGAGTAAAATGTTTTGGCATCAGTGCAGAGCCAGCTATTTAAGATGTACACCCAACAACTGATGGACTGTATCAAACAACATAGCTCGTTGACCATTAGTCAGCAGGTGGCAAGTCAAGCGTAGTCAACCAAACCCACGCTTTCAAGCTTCAGAATATTGTCCATGATTAGATGTGATTCTGTTATTGATCAACATTTATAAAATAATCTGGGCAGTGCTAAGAATTACACCAGAAATCAATTGAAGATCATCAGTCAGATTCATAATATGATGCATTTGCACATCATAGAAGCTACATATGTATGCAGTATCTTATTTTACATAGGCAAAAGGAATCGCATGTGCATTGCACCATTTTCATTGAAAAAAAGGGGGTCTGAAGACTGCTAATCTCTGCTAGATTCCCATGGGAAGATGCTGAACAATCAGAGCCTGGTCTGAGAACTAAGATTGACAGTTAATGCTTCCTGCTATGTCTCCGTGCCAATGATGGCCCACCCATTGAGCGCGTCTTTTTCTCATGCTGTGAAAAATGGGACACTAATTTATGTGTCTGTTTCTTGTTTCCTAGACCAATGAGCAAAATGAAAGGTTTCAAAATGCTGACTTCTTCAGCTATGTTCTGTTCTCAAAGTATTCATTTGTAGATTTTCAAAATGCCACATTCTTTCTTTTCCCTTGTCTTTAATCTATTTCCCAATCTATTTTTTACCTTTACCTGTAACTAATTTGACTCTAATTCTGCAGATGTCCTTCTCTCTCATTCTGTTGTTTTCTTTTTCAATCCTTAAATTTCATTGGTTAAGAAGGCGTACTATTAGTCTTGAACGTTCATTAGCCTATGAGAGATCCTGTTATCCTCTCAATGCCCTCATTGGCTCACAATTCCAGCATTTTACAGGACAAAACATATCGAGTTAGAGGCATTGGGATAAAGTATAACTAATGGAGCATGCCATGAGACAAAATAGGCCATTTAGATTTTTAAAAATATAGCAGAATCAGTATCCTGTGCAACGTATGAGAATTATCTTACAGCAACATGTTCACTTAGAAGATAAAATTAGTGAAACCTCCTATGTGCATTGACTCACTGATCAATAACAATCTAATGAGATTTTAATTCTTTTCAGTAGCACTGGAGCAATGCATTTAGTTCACTATGCAAAACTTGGACAAGCATCAAAATTTGTGTTGGAAATGTTATTAAGAATGTCTACACTCAGGAAGGATCTGCCAATTTTAACACTCTTTACCAAGGTATCATAAAAGTTGACATACTACTTACAATCATATGCAGAAGAGGCCATTTGGTCTATTGTGCCTGTGCCAGCTCTTCAATTAGTTCCACTTCCTAATGATTTAGTTGTACAGTAGATTAAACATACAACTTTAGTCTTCTATGAAAGGTTTGAACAGTAACGCATGACTGGAAATGGCAAATTCAGATATTAATAATGAACATTGCAGACTTCTTGAACTATGCTGTCCTACTCTGACTGGTTGGTAAAACTACCTTGCTACGTATACAATCTGCCCAGGGACAAGTTGAACACATTATTTTACTTTGTTCTGGTGAGGTAAAAACAGCTTCCTTTTAAATTTAGATTTGCATACAATAATGAAAAGATGACCAGGGTGAGAGAACTGTATTTTACAATCATAGGTGACAACTGGCCAAATTGAACTAATATTCATGTTTGAACTTGGTTGTAATTTAAAAACAAAGAATTCTCTTAGCTTAGTTATCGTATCATTTAAGCAAAGCTACAAAGGTTCAGTTGAACTCCACCTTTTACATATTGTTCTCAATAGTTGGCAGTAAGTAATGAAGATCCTTGTTTGTGAATCATTTGGCACACATTTTGTTCATTTTTTTGGGGGGATGTTAGAAGTGCAAATAATTTAGTGCAAGTACGTATAGTGCACATCCTGTTTATACAAACTTATGGATAATGCAATTTCAGTTAAATGTTTAATTCACTAGAATATTTTCATATATTTTAGTCAAATAATTATTCACTAACCAACAGGTTATATTTTTATATCCTCAGGATGAGTGCACACTTTGCGAAGAAGCCAAGGAGGCATTGATCGCTTACAAACATAGGGTATGAAATTAACTATAGTAAATAACCAACTTTAGAAATGAAGTCAGGGTCCTCAATAATTTACTGACTCACAATATTCACTACTTGGTGAGGTTTGCGTTAGATAGTTGCTAATCAATCGTTTGGTAGTACAGATTTCGAATATTAAGAAAGATGCGTTGCTGAAGCTCATTTTACACACATCGAGACAAACACAAGAATCTCAATTTCAAACAATCACACCAATTTATATTACAAGAGAAAAGGATTGGTTACAAATTGACACAGGCCAAGGTCATGGAGAAAGCAATGAGGAAAAAAAATCTGGAATTGGAAAAGTTAATCAATTTTGCTTCCAGTTTCCATCCTTCTCTCACCTTCACCTGGTCCATCTCCGATGCTTCCCTTCCCTTCCTTAGCTTCACTGTTTCCATTTCTGATAATAACCTGTCCACAATATTCACTACAAACCCACCGACTCTCACGGTTACTTCGACTACACTTCTCACGCCCTAGTTCCTGCAAGGATTCCATTCCATTTTCCCAGTTTCCTGTCTCCGTCATATGTGTTCTGATGATGCACCCTCCATCGAGCTGCCTCCAAACATGACCTCTCTTTTTTTCAACCGAGGATTCCCCTACAAGCTTGACAGGGTCCTAAACTGTGTCCGACCCATCTCTTGCACATTTGCATTCACCCCTTTCCCTGCTTATCAGAACAAGAGTAGGGTTCCATCTGCTCTCACTTCCCAACCACCAGCCTCCACATACAAAGGATTATTTTCTACCATTCCCTCCACAATACCCTGGGCCATTCCCCTATCACTCCAAACTCCTTACTACCTCATGGCACCTTCCCATGCAATTGCAGAAGTTGTAATGCTTGCTCATTCATTTCTCCCACCTCACCGTCCAAGACCCCAGGTGCAACTTCCAGATGAAGCAGCAGTTCACTCATACTTCTTTCAATCTAGTTTACTTGATTTGCTGATCACGGTGCACTCTCCTTCACATGGGTAAGATCAAAAGCAGCCGAAGCGATGCTTTAAGGAACACCCCCGCTTTGACTGAAGAAATGACCCTGACCTCCCAGATACTTACCATTTCAATAAATCATATTTCTCTTACTCTAACATTTCTCTCCTTGGCCTGCTACAATGTTCCAATGAAACTCAATGTGAGCTTGAGAACAACAACATTGTTATAGTGTCTTGGACTCAATATTGAGTTCCACAACATTTGAGATCTCCTGTTTCACTTCCACCAGCCACATTAGCATCAACCCAAATGTCCACATGTTATGAAGCCCTGAAGTAAGAGAAACAGTGTTTTTCATGGCACATCAGACGTAATCTTAAAGCTCTGCCCCCCACTTTTCAGAACTCCACCAACCCAACCCCTCCACAAACAGATTTCTCTATGAACGTCATCTACTCCTTCCATCATCTTAAACACCTGAATGATATCGTTCCTTAAGCATCGATATAGAGGACATTTGTGATGTGGTGGCAGTATCCATGCCTGTGGACCAGAAGGTCCAGGTTCAAGACCTGCTCCAGAGGTGTGAGACAATATGCTTGGACAGGGTAATTCAAAAACATTTATTTTTAAATTAAAATCTTCCATATTCAATGGAATGCAAGCTTAGTCTATGATACCTGTCCTCGTAATGTAACCATTGATTACCTAACGACAGACAATTTTACATCAGGGCTTGTGCTCCACACAAACCACTTCCTATCTTACTTCATTTTACCATAACCCCTCCTTCTAATGTTTCCCTATGTTTTTAACAGTTGCTCCTTTAATTTCATTTCACATAAGGAGTGTAATTATCTTTTCTTTCACAGTTCATCCTGCAGGAAGTAGACATTACTGTTCCAGAAAATTCCATCTGGTTCGAGAGATACAAGTATGATATTCCAGTTTTTCATCTGAATGGGCAGTTTCTGATGAAGCACCAGGTTAACTTTAAAATCCTCGAGAATAGACTGGCTAAACTGGAACAGGAATTGAATAAAAGGACGTGAGGATTTGAAGTGCAACTTGGTACAAGAAAATGTATCCACTTCTCCATTGGTATTAAGACTAAGTTCTTTTAAACAGTACTTGGTTGAAATGTGAATGCTTTAAAGTTATTTTGTTTCAAATGCTACTGGTAAAAATAAATAACTTGAAGGTTATTAAATGCTTAATGTAACATTTTTAGAAGAAACATAGTTGACTCTTGTTGCAGTAGCATTGTGCCATTCACAAACTAGCTTTGCATACATGAATTTGATATTGTTCTAACTTCCTACAGCTTTTTAATTTTTCCAAACTATTTCCAAGATATTAATTTGTGACCATTTATGCATAATGGACAATATAGTACACAAGAATAGGAGGCTATTTAGCCCGTCAAACCTCTTCAACCATTCAGTTAGATCGGCTATTCTGTACTAGGATTCTTTTTGCCTCCTGTTTGTATATCCTTATTTGACAGAGTTCTGAGGAAGGGTCACCAGACCCGAAACATTAACTCTGTTTTCTCCTCCACAGATGCTGCCAGACCTGCTGAGCTTTTCCAGCAACTTTGTTTTTGTTCCTGATTTACAGCATCCGCAGTTCTTTTGGTTTTGACAGAGTTCTGTCAATTTCAAATGAAGGTAAAATACTCTGGATACTGAGACCACAACTCCTGAAGAAGAGGAAGAGTCATACTGGACTTGAAATGTTTACTTTGTTTTTCTCTGTCGACAGATGCTGACAGACCTGTTGATTTTCTCCAGTATTCTCTGTGTTTGTTTCTGTCATTCTCAGTCTTGTTGGATTTCAGTTGACAGCTAGCATTCATTGTGAGGAAGAGGCATTCCAGATTTACCTGCATAACCTTATGTGAAGGAATATTGCCTGACATCACTCTTGAATGGGCTATCTCTAACCTTTCATTCTGCCCCTTTGTACTGGATCTCTCTTTTGTACCACCCGTGACCAAAGGAAGTAGTTTCTCATCCATCTACATCATAAATATGTTAAGTCAGCTGAAACACCTTGATCGCCAAAGGTCTTCCAAGTTCAAATGAATGCGGCTTAGTCTGTGCAACCAGTCCTTTCAAAGAATGGTCACATCACAAAAGAAAGCCATTCAGCCTATCATGTTTCTTCGGGCTCTCCAAAGGAGCTATTTACCTTTTGCCACTCTCTGCTGCTCCGTGGAGCCCTTCACATTCTTCGTTTTCAAATAGTGATCAATTTCATAAGACCATTCGCTCTAGGAGCAGAAGTAGGCCATACAGCCCATTGAGTTTGCTCTGCCATTCAATGAAATCATGGCTGACCTGGTAAATCCTCAACTGGACTTTCCTCCCTTTTCCCCATACCCCCTGTATTCCTGTACTGATTAAAAACCTGTCTCTCACCGCCATGAACCTATTTCATGACCCTGTCTCAAAAACCCTCTGCAATAAAGAATTCCACAGATTCACTGGCCTCAGAAGAAATTCTTGCTCATCGCGATCTTAAAAAGGTGCTCCCTTATTCTGAAGTTGTGCCACCTGGTCCAAGACTCTCCCACAGCTGGAAGCCACCTTTCTGCATGTACCCTGTAGAGTCCTCTCAGAATCTTGCATGTTTCAATGATTGTGTAAAGGAATTGAGAGCTGGTACGGGGGAGAGGAGGGAGCTGTTGGTAGGGTTGGAAGCGTTCACCTGGTTGATTCGGGAGGAGTGGGAAAGGGAATTTGTTTTTTTCTTTTCTCTCTCTCTCTCTGTCTTTCTCTCTCTCCCCCCTGTCACATCAAGTGTTGGGTCTGGGTGGAATGCTCTTCAGAGGGTCAGTGTGGACTCGATGGGTCGATTGGCCTGTTTTCACACTGTAGGGAGTCTATGATTCTAAGTTTGCCACTCCAGTGAGTACAGGCCCAACCTCCTCATCCTGTTCGCATGAGCAAATCCCTCCTCGGGACTGCCTCCAATGCCAGTATATCTTTGATTAGAGAAGGAGCCCAAAACTGTTCACAGCATTCCAGCTGTGGTCTGACTAGTGCCTTGTATAGCTTTAGCAAGACCTCCCTATTTTTATACTGCATTCCATTTCTCTCCCAAATTTCTGCTGAACCTGTATGCTAGTTTTTTGTGATTTATGCATGAGGACTCCGTAGCTTTCTGCAGTCTTACTCCTTTTAAATAATAATTAACTCCTCAATTCTTCCCGCCAAATTGCATAATGCCAACATTTTCCCATCTGCCAACTTTTTGACCACTCATTTAACCTGTCTGTATCCCTCTAGAAACTAATAGTGTCATCCTTATCCCTTGTCTTCCCAACTATATTTGTGTCATCGGCAAATTTAGCAATAGTACGTTCAGTTTCCTCATTCAAGTTAATACACGTTGGAAATAATTGTGGTCCAAGCATTGATTGCATTCCATTAATTTCAGGTTGCAATCCTGAGAATGCTTCCTTCACCATCACCCACCTCTCACCCACACACCCACCCCAATCCTGTCCCAGAGCTGCTTAGCATAGAATCAGTGACTTTTGATGCAATTATGGTCCATCGATAATCACTCTACTCATGGAAGGAGTGACATCACAGAATCATAGAGTACAGAAGAGGCCCTTCAGCCCATGTATCACCAGAAATAAACTACTACGTACACTGGTCCCACTTGCCTGTACTAGGCCCCAGCCTTGATTGTTATGACATTTCAGGTACTCATCCAGGTATTGTTTAAATGTTGAGAGATTTCCCGCCTCAACTTTATTCCGAGGCAGTGCATTCCAGATCCCCACTACCCCTGGGTAGAAAGGTTTTTCCTCAATCCCCTCTAAACCTCCTGCCTTTTAAAATTGTCCCCCCTTGATATTGACCTTTCAACTAAGGGGAAAAGCTGCTTTCTATTCAACCTATGCCCCCCATAGTCTTATACACCCTTCTCTACTCCAAAAAAAAACAACCTGAGCTTATACAGCCTGTCTTCATAGCTGGAAAGCTTCATCCCAGATGCTTCCCGGTGAATCTCCGTTGCACCCCATCCAGTGCTATAGTGTGGTGACCAGAACTACACACACATCTCCAGCTGTGGCCTAACCAAAATTCTGTACAACTCCAACATGACCTCTATGCCATGATTTTTTTTTTAATCTACCTGTTATTTTTTCTTATGATGTAGGTAATACTAATATAGCTGCATCCATCCTTTGACTAGTTTCTTGGGGCCAGATGATGAGGGATGCTTGGTTTATATTTTGGAATTATGCGAAACTAGTATTTAGTGTGTGAAAATGAATAGAAGTTCCAGTCTGTTGGAAATGCTTAGAGTTGTTTTATCCTGATAGATTTGTCTTTGGATGAATGAGCCACAGTCCAAACATACATACATACAAACATATAAATTCGGAGCAGGAGTAGGCTGTTCAGCTTCCCAGGCCTACTCCACTAAGAAATATCTGATATGAAAAAAACAGAAAAAAACTTGCAGCAAACAGTCGCCAATTTAATCTTAGGGATGGCAGTACTAACATATGAGGAGACATTAAGTCAGTTGAGGAAGGGTCACCGGACCCGAAACGTTAACTCTGTTTCTTCCTTCACAGATGCTGCCAAACCTGCTGAGCTTTTCCAGCAACTTCTATTTTTGTTCCTGATTCACAGCATCTGGAATTCTTATTTAGGATTTTATTTAGGATTGTATTCACTGCAGTTTACAAGAATGAGAGGGTGATCTCATTAGAAAACTACAAAATTCTAAAAGGACTAGACAGGTTGGATACAGGGAGGATGTTCCCAATAGAATAAAAACAGAAGTTGCTGGAAAAGCTCAGTTGGTCTGGCAGCATCTGTGAAGAAAAAAATCAGAGTTAACGTTTCAGGTCCGGTGACCCTTCGTTCAGAACCCATTCAGTTACTGGACCCAAAACATTAACTCTGATTTATTTCCTTACAGATGCTGCCAGACCTGATGAGCTTTTCCAGCAACTTCTGTTTTTATTCCTGATTTACAGCATCCACAGTTCTTTTGGTTTTTATTTGGGATGTTCCCAATATTGAGGGGGGGGGAGGGGAGTTCAGAATCAGGGGTCATAGTTTGAGGATAAGGGGTAAACCTTTTTATGACTGAAATGAGGAGAAATTTCATCACCCAGAGTGGTGAGCTTGTGAATTTACTACCACAGAGAGTGGTTGAGGCCAAAACATTGTGTGTTTTTAAGAAGGAGTTCGATTATAGTTCTTGTGGCTAAAGGGATCAAGGAGAATGCGGATGGGAGACAGGGATTAGAATACTGAACTTGACGATGGACCATTATCATATTGAATGGCGGAGCAGCATGAGGGGTCAAATGACTCCTACCTTACATTTTTCTATGGATGATCTCAAATATATGGACAGTTGAAGAGACCATTCAGGCGAGCATTGAAATAGATTAGTCTGGAAGTAGTAGAAAAACGGAAGAGAGTTTCAGTTGCAGGCAAGGTTATCGTTTTTTTTAGATGAATGAAAAATTATATTTTAAATTCAATATTAGAAAGTATCTTTGAAATGGTGATGCAAACTTGGAATAAATTGCTCGGCCGTGTAATGGAGGTAAATAGGAATGTTCAAACATAACTAGTGAGTGGGTATACTTGAGAGAGAGGTTTTATTGGACTATATGGCCTCTTCTAGCTCTATAGGCCATTTAGGACTGAGATGAGAAGTTTCTTCATCCTAAGAGTAGTGAGACTCTCCCCAATTCAGGGCTCCTTATAGCTCCTGTGTCAACTTAGTCCTAATTCATTCTAACCCACTGACCATCCTTTACCCTTACGCACACCCATGTTTGGTCACCCAGTATCCACCGTGGACCTCAGAAGCCATGAGATATTTTAAAACAAAATACTGTCAACGCTGGAGATCTGAAATGAAAACAGATAGTGCTGGAAAAACTGTTGGGCAGCATCTGTGGAGAAAGAAATAAGACTTTACTTCTAGAATTCAGTTACTCTTCTTCAGAACTAAACTCATAATAATTCCTTGGAGCTGTTACTCATAGAGTCATCGAGTTGTACAGCATGGAAACAGACCCTTCAGTCCAACTCGTCCATGCTGACCAGATATCCTAGATAAATCTAGTCCCATTTGCCATCATTTGGCCCATATCCCTCTAAACCCTTCCTATTCATATACCCCTCAGATGCCTTTTAAATGTTGTAATTGT